CACAACATTAAATAAATGAAATATGTAACTTTATAAAAATCAATGGTAACTGCAATTAAGTTGCCAAGCTAAGCTGAATCGTTTATCAGACTCCAGGATAGCATATGTCAAATAATGACTTCAGTTATTCACTACAGTGAAGCAAAAGTTGTAGTACAAGAAGAGTAACCAGACCAATTAAGGTGCATGATAACAATAACTACATTGTAAGAATTAATTATACTGCAATACTTCTTCGTATAATAAACTTCAACAGCACTCATGCAACAGACCAGACAGACAGATAGATAAACGGGTGGCTTTTACTAGTCTGTTTAGCTTGGTACAGAGATTACTTGGGGACTTTAGTCAGATGTTCAGAACTGGGCACTGACTAAATCAAACCTTTTAACACTGTCAAGATCAGCAACAATATAAAGATCTGGGGGACATGTGGAATTCAACTTCAGGGATCTAAGGGACAGAGACATGCCGTTCAGTGGGTACCACTAGGCAATATCATAAGGATGTACAATATAAACTGACTTTTTGTTTCTGTATCATTGACACAATGAACTACAGTAGGTGTTATTTCCAGGCCAAACTGACATGACAGTTTCTATCCTCACAGACTGTCTAACTGTCTGTTATTAGTAACCAGAAATGGCTACAACAGACTGGCCCTAAACTCAGTTTATTAAAAAATGATTATTTTAATCTAGGATTATTTTTTTCTAGGGTAATTTTGACAACAGTTTATTGCTGTCTTCAAGGTTCAAGAACGGACAATTTTTTGGATCCTAAGATTTCTTGTGACCGATGTGATAGACTTTTTGATAATTTTTTTTATCATTTGAGAAACTTTGCTAAAGTAAAATCCTACCTGATAAGAAGAATGTGGCGATGCCGGTTTACTCTTTATGGGTTCACGACTTGACGTCTACTGTATCTCTATTTGTAGATGAGCCAGACTGCAAGGCCAGCAGGCTCTTGCTTGTTCACATTGTTGCTGCTAGGCTGCTGAGGTGCACTGGCTTTTCTCATCAAGTCACTGCAGTGCTGGGGTTTTGCATTGGTTACCTGTGCGTTTTCAAGTAGATTTAATGGAATTAAATTATGGGTCAGGACCCATCTACCTTCAAGAGCTCCGTACCGCCTAGGTCCCAGACGGCTCACCGAGAAGAGAATGTGGGTTTACTGACTGTGCCCTGGCAGTGTTTAAAGTAATTTCTTTAAGTCTTTCAGCTGCTATAGCCTCTCTTTATGGAGTACCTTCCCAATTCACATCAGAAATGATCTAATAGCTATATAACCTCACTATTCTAAATATTATCTAGGACACTAGATTGTTTTAAAAGCAAATTGAAGAAATTCCCTTTTAGATGTGGATTAAACTTAATTAAAATCAAAAATTATTCTTGCACTGCCTTGCCTTTACTCTTGTTAAAGCACTGTGGGATGCCTATGTATGAAAAGGGCTACAATACCTAAGAATAGATTTGCTTTCTTTTTTTGGCTGTAAAGCAATAGATATTTATTTAAACAACAGATTATAAGAGTCTGGAGCTCTTCAGCCACAATTTTTAAGCTCAGCCTGAAATCACTTGATGTCAGCATAAGATTTTTAAGCTATTAGAGACCAAAAGACCAAATTGCCTCCTCTAGTTTGTAATCTTTTGAATGTTGCTCTTCGGTGCATAGTGTCATGTCAAGACTGCAGTGCAGGTAATATCACTTTGTTGATCCTATGGGAGAAAGACAGTACAGTATGAAAAGCTGACTTCTCTGTGGGTACCAGAAGGTGCCGTATGATCAGTATTATTATGTAGGCAGCTAGGTCTGCCATGTGGGGTTAAGAAAGTACAATGAATGGACATGTCGGTAGAAGACCAAGGAAAAGTAAAACCAGACTGCCAGCTGAAGTTGGGTAAAGATGAGGCAGAGGATCAGACAAGGGACTGGACAGAGTGGGGTGCCTGAGTGATGAAGACAGCAGTCATGGACAGAGGTAGTCATGCAGATACTGAAGTTGGGCTGTCAAAATGGAGACATGAGGTGTAGGTAAGACTTGAACTTTGTTGCCATATGTAACCGGTACATGTACTGGTACAATGGAATTCTTACAGAAAGTCTCTCGATTGTTAAAACAAGTGTAACAACACAAAGTGCAGATAGCGCATCAAGACAATATACAAACAAACAGTAGACAATGTACAAGTAAACAGTTTGAATGTAAACAATGCAGACGTGTAAACAGTGACTGGAGATGTGCAATAAATAAGAAATCATAATAAGGTAGATGGTAAAGATGTGGTAGAGGGGCATGGCTAAATGTGTTCGCCAATCGCAATGCTTGAGGATAGATGCTATTTAGTAATCTGGTGGTGAGTGTCCGTATGCTCTTGTATCTCTTGCCTGAGGGCAGTGGGGTGAAGAGGTCATGCCCGGGGTGGTGACTGTCCTCCGTGATGGCCAGAATTCTACCACGGCAGCGGTCCACATAGAGCTATTTAATCTCGGTGAGACCACAGCCGATGATCTTCTGGGCCATACTGTATTGACCATTCTCTGCAGTGAATGGAGACTAGGTGATTTGTAGAGTATATCACACAAATTGTGGCAAAATTGGTGCTTTAAGTTATTAAACTAATTAGCAAAATTATTTAAAATGTATTTAAATTGTTAGTTAATATTAAAAAGATGAAATAACTAACATTCTCATGAAGTTAGTGATAGTGATGCTGTTGTGGCCAATTAAAACCCTTTGTACAGGTTAAAAGAAAAGTTATTTTTAATCGGGAATGAATGCATGAATGTAATGTGAATTTATGTATCTTGACTCTCTTCAGTGATAGACGTTAGCTACTTCTAAAGGTAAATAATGCTGATACAGTGATGGGAAACATAATGAGGACTGATGTCCGTGTCTATCTACAGAAATACAGTTGCCAACTGTACAATTATGATCTGAGTAGTTTTTGTTAGCCTCAAGAGAGCTTTCTGCATGCTTTCTACAGTATGCATACTCAATAGTTAACATATAACTTACTCCCACAGTGTCAGGTAAACCATTGATGTGTATTTTAACACATTGTAATTTTGAAAGATATGAAACAAAATGCAAAGAAACTGTTTAGTATGCTAATCAGTGCCAGTTTAATCTGTTTTTTTAACAACACTTGTACATCCTGATGATTTTCTCTTCATGTGTATTAATCTTTTAGTACACACTATCCTTTTTATAGCTTAATAAATTAGCCATATATCAGTTTTCACTTTTAATAGAACAGCACAAAACGCTTTAGATAAGATTTAGATAAGCAGTTCCATCAAGCCCTACATTGCAAACAGAACGCAAAACTTGTCAATGTTTCCTGTGCCCATGAAAGAAATCCACAGTCCTAAATTGTATTCTCTGTGGTGGAGAAATTGGTTTCTCTAAAACATAACTTTTTCCTCATTTTTGTCTGTTCTTTCAGAAGGCACCAGTCAAACAACAGTAAAACATTACTTGTTCAATATCCTCTTTCTTTTATTTACAGTATATGCCATATTACCCAAAGGGTGGTGGGAGTAGGATGCTGGCTATCCAGCCATATACAATAGCTGAAGCCGAGTCTCTGTTGATGTTTGGCCTGAATGACTTGCTCTTGTTTTTAACCTTTCTTGTGTCCTTATATTCATATTGTTCTTTAATCATTTGGACACTTTTGTGACAATACCAGTTAAAGTTTATAAAGAAAACAGTCAGGGAAACAGCCCTTATGAAAATGTCAAAAGGTGTTACGGCCGCAAGAAAATACAAGTTATAAAGTGTTCTGGGACATTTTACCACAGGAGTTACCTTAGTACTCCTGTGGAATGCTGTTAAAGTTCCTGTGGTAAACAGTTCCAATGTGCCACATGGCATTTCCTATTACATCAGCCCTGTAGTACTTTTCCTGTTGTATAACATTCCTGGAGTGATAATACAACCCTGTCAGATTTAAATGTGTTAGTAACCTTCATCTATAATTAACAAGGTGGTACACCCAGATTCGACCGGTCAATTGTTATTGTTGAGATTGGTTCAAAACAAAATATTATACCTGCCCATCATACAGCATGTACTCCTTGATTGCTTGGGAATAGTTAGAGAATAGCTGTATTCTACACATCTGATTCATATGATATGAAGATTATATTTATCAGCTGGCATCACAGAATATTCTGATCATATCCAGTGGCTGTAGTAAAGCATTACAAAATGATACTAAGGGATTCCTGTAATATTATAATACTGTAAAATTGATTTGGTGTGTTAATTTTCAACATGAATGGGATTGCTGCCATGCTCTTCTGAAAATGCTATATAGTAATTTCTGTTCTATTTAAAGGTTGCTCCAGAAGTATAACTACCATACCTTTTCACACTTATTTTATAGTTTTGTAGCCTTTTATTCGCAGACAGAAACATTGAGAAGAATCAGTGAAGCATGACTGACAGCTTCTGATAGCTAGTGAGATGAGAATCTCTTCACTTAAATAGTTTCGTATGAAACATATGAAGCACTTCGCAAAAATGCTGATAGCAAGCACATCTCTGCCAGGGGTGAGGGGAGAATGTCATAGAAGATGTACTTGGAGCAGAGATGAAAAAGCGATCTCAGTGTGAAAATGTCAGCAAAGCTAGAATGCAGACAGGCCCTCAGGAATGAGGGATTACGGAGAGCAGAGCCAAGTTTTTTTTTCAAAACAAGGTCTGTTGTGAGCTATGGGCTAGCAACATAAAGCACATTCAGTTGTGTTTCACCTTAGTTTGTCCATTTAATTTTCTTTTGAATTTGAGTCAAGTTAACTTATCGTCAATACCCATGCTTGAGGATATCCATAAGTGTGCTATTTCACGCAATCATTTTGTCCATAAGTTGTTTTGTGTATGGCTGTCCCCTGAAAAAAAATGCAAAACAGTCCAGTTTGTCTCATTACCATTCCTTAGCATGTGTGACACATTTTCTGTCCCTTTCTTTTTTCAATTCTAGGTTTATCTTTGCAGCAGCGATAAGGAATGTGACATTGGAAGCTACTGCCACAGTCCTCAACATGCTCCCTCCAGATGCCTGGCTTGCAGGAGAAAGAAGAAACGGTGCCACAGAGATAACATGTGCTGCCCAGGCAATCACTGCAGTAATTGTACGTCCATGTTGCTTTTAGTTACCAGAACGCAAAAAGGAAACACTCCTACATCTGATGATGGAAAAGAGTTTATGCCTCGCACAACTCATGTATTAGTCTTTAATGATTGTTTACATACTTGTCACTGGAAATACCATATTGTTTACTGGATGTAATTCAGCGGTGACAGATTCTGTCTTCCTATTTTCTCACTTACCATTTTATTTTTGCGTAAAATGGCTGAGTAAATGATCTCTCAAAGCTGAAAGTGAAGGACTGAGATGGAAAAGCAAGAGAAATTCAGAACCAAAAACCGCTTGACACTAATAATTGTGAAAGTATCCGACTCTGTATGATGAAACACCAGGCAAAATGGTGCATATTTCTGATGCACTTTATGGAAGAATGCCATGGCATACCATGATCAAAAGCATTTAAAGTGACTACACTTTATAGATTGTGTAAGTGTAAAGTAAATATAAACAAGGAAAACGACATGATCATGGGCATACAGTAATAGCATTTTTAATACTGCTTTAACTTTCTTAAAATGTGCCTGGCGATACAAATTGAGAACTGTCTTATAGATCAGCCAATCATAACCTAAGGCGTTACATCATGTAAATGATCAGACATCATGTGACACCACTATTTGGCAAGAATCTGGTCTGGGCTGAAGGAAAGGCAATGTTTTCTGTTTTCCATATTTGTCTTTTGGAGGCATCTTTTTGCACCACAATAGTGAGTTTTCAAGCTAAGGATTTGTGTCCTTTAAACATTTATTTCTCGTCAGCTTCAATAAGTAATTTCTGAGGACACAGACATCTCATGTGACAAAAAGAAGATGAAAAGCAAACACAGAAAGTGATCTACAGAACACATTTCTGAAGTGTAAAAGCTTGGAAAGTATCTGCAAAAAGAGATGAATAGTAGATAAATCACAGTCAGTGTATAAAATCAGCAAAGAATATTCTGCCCCTGTCATTTTCTATTATTTCTGTTCTGGAACAAAATCTGACCTCACATGATGCTAGGCAATAAAATAAACAAAACACATTTTTAGTGAAAAATGATCTATTTGAGACAGCTGTGAACCATCAAAAAAATGTATTTTTCCAGGATGCTCTTGTTTTTTCATGTGGATTATCTCATGTGTATGACGAATGATAGACTTCAGTATTTTGTATCTTAAATGTTCTGTAGTAAACCCTTCACTTACTGTACCAGTAGGGTGGAAATCCAATCTAGGATACAGTATAGTAGTGAAGACACACAAAACCAATAATTTGGCAATGCATCTTGGTAAGAATGCCTTTAATTAAATCCAAAGTATTTGTTTTTGCTTTAATTAAAAATGTGCTGCAAACTGCACAGTAACTACACTACCAAAGGTTTTGTCAGATGTTACCAATGAATGCTGTTAACAGAATCATCAGTTTCTAATCATCCCTCTCTCTAAAGTTAATCACTTTCCATTTCTCTCTCTCAATTTGTTAGACTGATGACATTTAAACAGTTCACTGTTTCCACATTTCACTGAATGCTCTAGTGCCAAGCTCCCTCAGTTTGATCTCTGAACATATTCCTGAGATATCTTGCTCCACGTAAACCAGTCTGTGTGAATGGCTGTCATATTCACCCCATAGAAACAGTATCAAATTCCTGTATGACAAAAACTTCTGTTGGAAGTTTATGCTTTGCATAATGAACCTGGTTATGGCATCTCTTCGTTTTTCAGACAGTTACAGTATCTCCAAAAGTATAGTACGTGTGTAGTAGCGGAACACATACCAGTCTGAGCAATGACCGGTTTCCTCTCCAAATCCGTCTGAAAAATATTTCAAATCAACATTTGTTCACATGTAGAGTCTGAACGCCTTTGACAAATCAGCAGGCTTAGAATGCAGCTTGCACAAACACTTTGGATCTGTATGAGTGCTCGGTTTGTAGAGTTCTAGAAAGAGAGAGGGACAGCGGACAGAATTCAGACCAATGTTTTTCTTTTCATCTTTTTGATTGCAGACATTTGCATTCCTATCACCGAAACTGTCCTTGCGCCACATATCACCGCGGTAGAGGGGCACAACAAGAAGACTGGACAGCTTTCCACTAAGGAAAAGGGTTGGCCAAAGACTGGGAAGGCACAGTCCAAGTTACCACATGTGAAAGGTTGGTAGCAGATGCTCCGTCTTCCACTTTCCCTTGTGGCCGTATGGGAAACCAAGTGCTATTGTAGAAATGTTGTTGATTCCCGAAATAGTAGGAGCTGAGAGCTGATTAACTTTTTTTAAAGGCAAAAAAGTCTGCATATTGTTGAGACGCGTTGAAATGCAAGTGTAGTAGATGTTCAAGAGAAAACGTACTTTTTCAAGAGACTCTGTTCCCTCCTGAAATGGATTTAAGCATTAATATCTCTCTCCACCTCCCCCATCAGGACCCAGTGGTCTGGAGATGTAAGTAAGTGTTCACTTGTCAGATCTTTTCCAGATAGATAAGTTATTAATTTCTGTAATATCCCTTAGTAGTATCCCCAGTATACTATAGTGTACTGTATGTCACTCAATTTGTTTAAACACCAAATAATTGTTCAATGTGTACACAAGGAGCAATGATATAAATATTGTGGGCAGAATGTTTTCTTTTTAGATTTAAATAAGGTTTTTTATACATGGCTGTGTTCATACAGTATGTCTGGGACATACAATGGGGACAGATTGTCTTATGCCCTTGATTTCCCACACAGAAGGAATGACTAGTCTGAATGTAGTTCCTAATGTAATAATGAGATAATACTTGTACAGAAAACAGTTTGTCTCAGACACATCACATCATATCAACAATCAGCTGAATGTCATATAGGTATTTAAGCCTATCTTTAAAATGAATAAAACTACACACCTATGAAAAATCCAGATAACCACTGGTAAAATCACCACAGAGGAGCTTCTCTGCTTTTCTCCTTCTCCAGTGACCCTTTTACACATGACCCTAGCTGAATCATTATCTCCTGTTAGTCATGGTTATTAACAACATATTGTGAAGGTGGCGCCAGTCCCCAACTATTTTAATAATTATCTACTGCCGTTATGTCATCGGACCCTTGAGCTGTTAACACGGCATGGGGTGCAGACATAACCACATTACAATGTTGTTTCTGCACCCCATATAAAAGTCATGTACACTTACTAGCAGCAAATGGCATCCTGTATCATATATAATCAAAAACTGATGCATCTCTTTTTTTTTAAATAAATAAGCAGTTCTAATGATTTCTTTTTAAGCATGACATAACAAATGAAATATGCAATACAGAGTGATAAAAGGTAGGAAATACTGTAGTATATAGATGATGGCAGGGTGAAAATGATGAAGAACCTCAAGGAACAGGGGTGTTTCTTTCTTATTGTGAACTTGAGTGTAATGCTGAAACCCTTTGAAAATTACACCGGAATGCAATCGGGTAGAAGGACAATCTTCAATTTACACGTTGTATTGGTAATTATCTCCAACATAAGAAAGATTACAAATGAGAGGGGTACATTTGGCCCATCTAGCTGTTTGGTTTCTCATTGCTACTTGACCCAAGGATTGCAGCCAGTTATTTCTGAAAAGAAAAGCCAGGTTTTTGGTTTCATCAGTATGGTTGGGTAACTTGTTCCATATTCCTTTCTAATACACAGTTTACTCTTGTGTCTTCTGGTTCATGTTTCATTGTTGATTTGGTAGAAGTCCATAGGACTGACTTTATAAATACCCCTGAGCATTTTGAATACTTGAATCAGGTACCCCTGTAGTATTTTTTGTTCAAAGTTATTTTTTTTTCTTGCTGTTTAAGCGTGTTTTTGCAAAACATCCTTTTAAGGAGTCTAATTGGAAAACTGAGCCCATCCTACCCAAAACGTCTTTTAAGAAGTAAAATATATTACATATAAGCAAATAAGCTTCTTTAGAGATGTTTATTAGTTGGTGGTGCCATATAATGAAAGCTTACAGTATATAGCATTCTGATGAAATACTGACAACTATTTCTGGCAATTTTGTTTTATCCTTTTCCTCATAAAAATGCAACAGTTATCTAATTTGAATTTCAACCAAATGGTTTATACTGTGTCATCTAGGCATTATTTTTATGAGTACTGGAAATGTGCTACAATCTTTGCTTACTGGTGATTAAATGTTGACAATTTTGTTCAAGAAATTAGAATTTAAAGTTGATTTCACTCCCAGAATCTGTCAGTTATATGACTTTTCATTAAAGTAATACCGCAACATTTCAAGGGATACATCCAATATATAACATGCCATGAGTCGCAGCAAAACAAGAAAATTGAAAACAAAGAGATGGATGTATTATTTTGTGAAAAATGTTCCATTCTTTATTATTAACTTATTTGGGTTATACTTTAACTCATAGATATACCTATTTTTTTACAGATGGGCACCATTGTCTCAATCTGAGTGAATTACCCCAGCATGTGAAATTTGAACCCATAACCTTCCACTTGTATGTCCTGAACCATGACCACTGCTCCTTTTATATTCATACAGTATGTCACATTCACCACAGATATCCTTTCCAAAAGTATGTCAGATCTGATTATTCTGTATATAAAAAAACATATTTAAAATCCATACTCAAATTAGAAAATATAAGAAAAATGGAACTTGACTCGGGCGCACAGTAGCACAGTAGTCAGCATTGGGACTACCTTGCAATGCTGAGGCTCCCGTGTTCAATTCCGGACCTGGGGTTCTGTCTCCATGGAGTTTAAATGTCCTCTGCATGTTTGTGTGGGTTTTTTCCTGGCTGCTCTGATTTCATCCCACTGTCCAAAAACATACTGGTAGATTAACTGGCTTCTGGGAAAACTGATAATGGTGTAAGTGTGTGTCTGTGTGTGCCTTGTGTTGGGGCTGACATCCTGACCCGGGTGTACTCTGCCTTGCACCTGTTGCTTGCTGGAATGGATTCCAGCTCCCTTGCATCCCTGAATTGGAAGAAGTGGTTAGAACTTCTCCGTGGGGCAGAGCGGTGGCTCTGTGGCTAAGGATCTGCGCCTGTGACTGGAAGGTTGCCGGCTCAAATCCCGTGGCTGGCAGAGGAATCCTACTCCGTTGGGCCCCTGAGCAAGGCCCTTAACCCTAACTGCTCCAGGGGCGCTGTACAATGGCAGACCCTGCGCTCTGACCCCAAGAATTCTCCCTGTCTGTGTCTCCATGGAGAAAAGCTGGGGTATGCGAAAAGACGAATTCCTAATGCAAGAAATTGTATAAGGCTAGTAAAGAAACATTAAAAAATAAAAGAACATGAGAGGACTGAATTTGACTAAGAATGGTATGTTTACCAGTTAAACACACATTGTTTTATGGAGTAATTACATCTCAGAAGGAATTAAATTCTACAGGAGGGAAAAGCATTGGCAAGATAAGAGGATAGTTTCTGCATGGAATTAGGCAGCAGTCTGGGCCAATTAATAGAAAAGCTAGGAGGGAAAGGGTTTCTGTCTACATTAGGAGACTAGGCTATCCTAACGGCTTACAGACCTGAAAGAATCTGCATTTTAGGAATACTCAAGATAACGCAGCTTAGGTTTGTGCTAAGGGAGGTCATAAGTGCTGAACAGGTGGCCATTGTGTTGGCCAGGCTCAATGAGGGTTAGGTGTGCTGTGGAGGTACAGGGTGGACTGACCGAGCTAGGGTGATGGGAGGCACTGGGATTTTAAAAGAGCCGGACATCATTTTTCAGTGTAACAGCAGGTTATTGACAGAAAATCTAGAGTGGTGTCCCTGGCCAAACAGGATCAACCAAAAATAAAATTGTGGTTGCTAGTGAAGATGAAGAAATCAGCATGAAGGGTGATGTTGAGTTCAATGCCCCAATGGCTCGTAAACTGATTAATGATTAGTGAAGTAAAGATTGAAAATTAGGCATTAGGTTTTAAGACAAGTTCAATGCTGCAGTGTCTCATGAGGTGAAGGAATTGTTTTTGTGAATATTGCAAATGGGCGACATGGACTTGAATTATCCAATGTCAACTGATTTAAGAGGTAAGATGAAGAGTATAAGAAACGGGGTACACCTTAGTTTATTTTAAAGCACTAGTGTTGACTGTGCGTCAGTGGAAGGTGGAACAATAATCACAGAAAAAAGAGAATGAACTTGCAGTTTTCTCTGAGAGGTGACCCATATGTGAAATCTAGAATTGCAGAGGAGTTCCAAAAGATAAAGACAGCCCACCTAAAACATGACAAACAAAAGTAGAATGTTGACACGCTATTACAGTATTATGTGTCATGGCTTTGTCATAATTAACTGTCTTTTAAAATGTGAGCCAATAAATGTGTTTATTATATCATTGCTTGAGATAACAATACTGGGATAAATTCATGTAATTTCATGAATATGTAAGGTGCGTAGTGTTCGGTTTTTGAGTTAAGTTACAGTTGTCATATTGAGTTGATTAAGAATGTACAGTACTGTACATAAATAGCTGTTCTTAAAGTTAAGATTCTTCTTCAACATTCAGCAGACTAGCCCAGACAAAGCAGGACACCATCTCTGTGAAGAACAGGCCAAATCCCGGAAGACAGATAGTTACTGCATTGGGCTGGGACCCTCATATCTATTTGATCCATCTGTGTAATTGTTTTCAGACTGCAGTGGCTGCAGCATGAGACATTCCAAGAGGAAATAACCTGTGCATCAGCAGGAAGACTATAGCACTGTTTGCATAAAAATGATCTACAGTACATGTTTGGAGGCTATTTTGGGGTTACATGCTGACAGATAAGAGATGAAACTGCCATCTTCTGTGGGACAGAGAACACATGAGTTGGCAGGAGAAACAGAAGTAGTGTGTTTCATTCAGCGATGAGTGACATTTTTGTGCTTTGAAGAACTGATGGGAGACAATGTGCATGTAGACGGTCATGAACGCTATTCAAGCCAGCTGGTGAGGCAGTGGATCTATACCGAAAAGAAGAGGAATCTTTTGTAACAGGAAGCTTTGATGTAGACTTAGGGCAACATTACTGCTCTGTACAGGGTCAAAGCAGGGAAGAACAGAATTGATTGTGCAGAAATCATAACTGCTTGAATATATTAAAAATTGTATAAAAATCTATCTTTAATTGAAGCCCCTATTCAGAAAGACGCTCAGGGCTGATACTAATCTCTTTAATGTGGTATTGATTCTTGTTTTATTTAAGCAAGCTGGACAGGAAAGCATGTGTTTCTCAAGGATGTTGGAGCCTCTTGTCGCGTGTGAAACAGCCTTTGGCAGGGGAAAAAATACCATATAATTTCATGGAAAAGATGCATGACTGATTAACATCTTTAATAAATATTTTCTTTACTAATTATGACCTTTGAAACAACCATGTAAACTGGCTAAAAGGAATATCATGTTCTGCTTAACTGAGAATTAATTAGAAAACAATTGAGGAAAATTTGCTTTATTTAAACAGTTATGTGTTAAAGATCCATCAAGGAATTTGGTTTTAATGAGCTGTTTCATGAGTGCACAAGAATATGCAAGGAATATAGGTTTGATAAGAGGCTGAAATTGAACACATAAGTTTGGGTGAGATTTTAAGATCTCAATTTACTTTGCTCATTCATGTACAGTAGATTGCTGATCTGTCTTAGACTTAGACATTATTATTTTCTTTTTCCTCAGAATTTTTAATTCTTTATGCAGAAACATTCTTTGGTGATCATCAAATGTAATTCAGTTATCCTGACAGATGTGTATTTTATAGGCATGATAGGCATGATCTGTATGATAGGCATTGGCTACTACAATCTCATGAATTTGCTTCTCATGAATAGAGGTGTTTTGATTGTTTTATTTATGTTTTTGTTAATAACAAAGATGTTATAATATATCCAGTACTGTACAGTATATGGTACTAGGGCAGGCTAAGACTAAGGCTAGAACTGTAATCTATAATGGTGTTAAATAATTAATGAAAACTTAATTAGATTTATTTAGTTATTGTGTTCTTAACAAGATAGCAAAAGATGACTGTCCTTTTCCATGAATGAATACAATTCCTTTTTGTGTGAAAGCTGCTATTTATAAACATTTTACCTCTATAGATTCAGAGTATTTATATCCTTGTAGATTTAGTATCCTGTGATGTATCCTGGTTTGTTGTCTCATTTTTACTTTATGATTCACGTTTGACTCTCCATATTTCACAAAACTTAAAAAGAATGAATTCTCATTTTTCATTTTAATTGTCATCTGTCTGGAGTGAAGCAAACTCTGCATCATTTGACAAATTGAAAATTACAAAACCAGAACTTGATGGCAGGATTCCACTAGGTAGAATCAAGAGGCCTCTGGCAAATGAGAAAGTCATGGGTCTGTAAATTTGCCATTGGTAGGCGGGTTGAGGTTTTTGACCTTATCTGGGCAATCAACCTCATTCCATTTTATATTGATATGACTGTTGATGAGGGAGTGTATTTATTTCACACTTGGACATAACCACGAACCCAGAAGTTTTGAAAATCAACCACCATTCCCTTTTAACTTGTACTGATATTAGGGATTTGGAAACTCAGGAGATAAGTATGTAATAGAGAAATAAATGATGTGGTCAAATTTTGAATCTTGCCAACTTTCACTCACCAACACATACTCCATCTGCACCCTTGAAGCAGCACCCTGGCTTATTCCTTGTGGGAGGAGTAGTGCTTTCAGGTTTGCCCTCATTGACAGGCTGCTTTTCCCTCAGCTGCACCACAGAAACTTTTTAATATGGTTTGACTCTAGATCATGATAAATAGGTTTTGGCCGAGTTACTGAACCAACAATAATTAAGCAATTAATTAAGCAATTAGTGATACTGTATGCAGCCTGAGATGTATTAAATAAAAATGTTCTCTGAACTTCTAAAAGCTTCCTTTTCAATGTATTTGGTTCAAAAAAAAGTTTTGGGTATTTTTGTACTGTATCTGAAAAAAGTCTCATCTACATTTTCGTTTTAACAAGAAATTCCTCTCAGTTTAAACAAGGTTAATTGAAGTAGTTTGTTAGTTTTACTGTGAGCAGCAACCCTTATCGATGCTAATTGGAAACTTCTGTCGTTTCAGAGTTAAAGTGCATGGCACATTACAAAAAAAATATCATGTGTACTATACAAATGCAAGTAAACCTTTTATATTTACTGTATAAATATTTATACATTTTTGTATATGTACTATATGCCTGTAATTTAAAGTATTAATTATAGTCATTAGTCTTCCATTCATGTTTTCTCATAATTATAATATTCAAGCTAGATTTTGTCTTTGTCAGCCATGCTCCTTCACAGCTGCAATGTCCCCTGAGTAAGTGTATGACCTTTAGGAAGGCTTCACTTCCAATAACAGTAGCAAGAACCATCCTCATGCAAGACTGCCATTGTAATCTTGTAGTTTTTCCTCGTTTTATCCCATTTTTTATGCATTTGTTCCACTTAACCAGGTTGTTTTATTTTATGAAACCTGCTTTATCATAAGTCTGTAAATTATACCCTTTCATTTCCAGCTGTTACACCTCACAGTAAGCCATTTTGAAGGCAAACTCTTTATCTACAGTATTTGCAGTCCGTCATGAGTTTGTCCTCCTTGAACCTGGTGCACTTGTTACACAAATTCGAATATTTCGTTTTTTTCCTCTGACAGGTCACGAGGGAGATCGATGTCTCCGTTCCTCTGACTGTGTGGAGGGTTACTGCTGTGCCCGCCATTTCTGGACCAAAATCTGCAAGCCGGTCCTACAGCTGGGCGAGGTGTGTACCAGACATCGCAAGAAGGGCACCCACGGGCTGGAGATCTTCCAGCGCTGCGAATGCGCGAAGGGCCTTTCCTGCAAGATCTGGAAAGATGCCACTTCCTCGTCCAAATCAAGACTCCACATGTGCCAAAAGGTGTAGAGGGACCTTTGGCCCATTCTTTTCTAACTGTGAAAAAAAAACCCCTCATATTTAAGACAAGAGAGACACAGTGAATAGGGACACGGAAGGGAGCTTTGCAGACAGCGGTACAGGTGTGGAACATACGAACGATGGTATTCGGGATGCAGTAGGGTTGGCCATGAAGTAGTCTACTGCGTGGCTTCCATGTGTAAATAACATTATCTGCTATAAGTGCCATTCTGCTCTGCAAGGAAGATATTTAACCATGTAAAGCCAAGCTTTTACTTTGACTGTCACCAGGCAAGGGTGTTAAACTGCACTCCTCAAAAGTCACACTCGCGCAGGCTTTTTCAAGGCGTGTTAAGGACATTGGCTGCTTAAAATAGGAAATAATTGAAAATGTATTCATGCAGTCTTACAGTCAATCAAGGCAATTAAGTCAAGTCAACTATCACATTTAGTACTGAAGTGGAATAAAAGCCATGCAAATGTGCCTATTTTTGTGCTGTAGAGTTTGACACCCTTGGATTTTGCATTGTGATGTTTCATGTTTTTCTTATGGGAACATAAATATATACATACTGTATATTTTTTTTCTTTCATTTTTCACAAAGTGAATTCAGCCTGAAATACTGCACTTTGGCTCTAGCAATAGCTCAACTGGGATGTTAAATGATTTCAAAGCAACACAGTTGTTTGGGATTCTAACTTGTTCGGGAGTGTTTTCTCCTCCAGTACCAGGGCCGCACCAGTTACACTTGTGTTAATTTCAGTCTGTGTGCAGACACGTCCAGAAAAGCTACCTTTTCTCAACACAGCAGAACATCTTGTGCTAACAGCTTTAGGTTTCATAGCAGCAAGATCGATGAGATGCTAATTTGTGCCTGCGTGTGTGAAAGTACAGCTCTCCCTTGCCCTGCCAGGATGTTATTCTGGTGACTTTTGGCCTCCACCATTGCATAGTGCCACTTCTAAACAGCAGGCTGGGTCCCCTGTCAAGGGAGTATTTTATACTGTTTAGATTTCAGAGAGGGGTGACATCAGTTCTGTTACTCGCTCAGGACAATAAGATCTGTTACATGTGTACTCTACGACAGTCTGGTGTCAGGTTACTAAGGATGGCCATAACCTTTAATAACAATAAGTGGCTTTCTGATGATGGACGGATGTAGTTTTGTGTTGGGTTTTTTTCCATAAGGGAAAGTGTGTCTGTCCAGTCACATTATTACAGATGACTAGAGCAGAATGCAATTACAAATCAGACAGAGCCACTCAACGAAATGACATCCATATGAGCAGAGTGAGATTTTTGCAAGCAAGTGGAAGAATTGTGGAAGTAATTCCAAGCATGCAAAACAAATTATCGCCCTTTTTTTAAAAAGAGAGAAAACATCAAATAAATAGAAAAAAAAAGAGTGATGTCATTTTGAAATTATTTAAAAATTGTAACCCATGTACCAATTACTCATCATCATTATTATTTTTAGCATGGACGTTTGCCACATGTTGTTTGTTTAGCCTGGTAACATTTGGAATAATACGTTTGAACATTATTTCATATTATTTAGAATTTTACTAATATCTTACAGGGGTACAGAATCCATTTTTTCAGAATTAATGTTGCTGCCAAAACTATTTCCCTGCTTTCTGAAAGGAGTAATTTCCTGTGCAGTTACACTTGTATTTGCAAGCAGAAGTATATTAAAAATATCTCAAAATGTCCTGAAATCAACTGCAGCTTTTTCTGCATGTGATTTTTGAGCTTCAGATTTATGAACATCCTGTATGTGCCTTTAAATCTGGGCCTTTCAGAAAATACTGTTCTTTTCTCAAAACCTGAAGACCATGTGCTTACAAAAATGCTGCATGAGCTGAGAAAGGAAAGTCAATGCCGTTTCATCTCGGCTGTTTTTTTTTCTTTGCCTCCACGTGGCAAAATCCTCTGTCCTACTCACACTGACCTCTGGCATGGGTAGTGTGCTGAATAATACAGTATATGCTTTAGGACTGTTACAGTACATTGCCATTCTGTCTTCAGTTATTGAATACATATCCGACACGTATTGCAATAGTCCAGACAAGCCCCCTCTCAAGTTAATGTGATTATAGTCTCACTGGCTTTAACTTGTCTGGCCATACTGAGAAGTCTATACAAGAGTGAACAGAACAGCGATGAAAGGAGAGAAAGTCCAATCTGTATTTATAGTGATGAGGGAACAGAAAAGGGGGCTTGTCTGTCTCCCAAACGTTTATTAACCCCATTGACAACAAATCTGTCTATACATTGCTATAATGTACATGCAAGTTTTGTAAATCTGTTTTTCTGATGTGGACAGGTAATCAAAAAAAGGTTAATACCATCTGTCATGATTATTAATGAACCAATTATTAGTAAAGCTTTGGTTGCTTCCAAACATTACTGTTCCACATACAGCTATTTTCCTGTTTTGATGGTCAATTTTAAGTTCAAAATGATGAGGGTTACAGTCTGACATTGTTATATCTATAACCAAAGAAATGCAAGATTATTTTTTTCCAAAAATGAAATGCCAGAAGTACACAGTAGTTGTGCAACTGCCCAAAATAAGAAGTAACGTCATTTTAGTCCTCAAATATTCTTACAGTCTGTAAGAAGTTTAAACATTTCTTTATGAATTTTTTTAAGAGTGTCTTCTTAGAATATAGTTCAAGTAGGGAACTGAATCAGCATGCGTAGGCTTGAAAGGAACAAGTAAAGGTTTATTCCAAGCTGAAAAGAGAAGAAAGGAAACACAACGTTTCGGCTGTGGAGCCTTCTTCGGAGCCTCACTCCTGAAGAAGGCTCCACAACCAAAATGTGTTTTCTTTCTTCTCTTTTCAACATAAAATAAACCTTTACTTGCTTCTTAGAATATTGACCAACAGTGCAGTCCAAACTATAACAAATGGGCAAGAAAACAGTTTTCAGATCTTTAATACTGTACAGTATATCATGTCTTGATGAAAATGAATTGGGTGGAAAGTTAACTACGTATATATGACGATAAACCTTCACTGTTGATTCTATGTGTGATGAGAGGAGGATGTTTTTGTGCTTGTCACCCTCTAATTAATAATCTGTAGAGCTCAAATCCCACACCTGAGATCAGTAACACACATTTACTGTAGTTTGCATCTAATGGAAAAATTTAAATTCAAGCTATTAAGTTTGTGGAAAAGAATAATTTGTATAAAAGAGTTCATATTGTGTGTTACTAGTTAAGAGGGCACAATCTTGTCAAAATGAGTTATATCCCAATAATAAAACGTATCTTTATAAATGTAATAATAGTTTTACCATCTGCACTGTTTTCCTATTCTTTCTGTTCCTAATATTAACCTATTTTTAGAGGATATTGGGCATTATTTTTATTTTTCCCAGAAGTTTAGGTGTCTTTAATTTAGAAACAACCATATTAGTTTTCTAAAGGCATTTATGTTGCGGTACTATACAGTATGCACAAACTATCCTTGTCTTCATTCTCGTATGCACTCAATTTCTTCTGTTTAAAAAAAAGCAAAAAGCTTTTATATTGTAAATAAAATGTCCATTATTCAAAAGTGTATTTATGAACCAAGAATATATCATGTACAGTTTTGCATTACCTTGTATAATAACAAATAATCTGTTTCTGGTGAGGAGAATGTATTCATGTGGGCTAGTGTCTTAAGTTATGAAGTTCAGTACTACAGGTATGTGGTCATACAGTAGAAGCAGTACAGATAGGCATCAGTACTTGGATTAATTAGCAGTTTGCTACCATAGGGAGTATATGACATAGTTCTAACATGTATAGTACTAATGCTATAAGAGATGCAAGATTCACATATGGTATCACTTAAAATGATGTGTAAATCCCTTTCTCATGCTTCAAGATGTGTAAACTGATTAAAAGACACCAATTTGTGCATGACAACAGATGTGAAAGCCACATCAAATGTGTGCTCATTGCACTTCAACACTAAAGATCTAATCAATATTGAAACACATCGTTATCTCTCTGCCATTATGATGTACAGTATCAGTGCTGAGAACGCAGCAGGATTGAATGCCAAACCAGACCTATAACTGTGCTTGTTTTGAACTGGTATGAACCTAAGTGATCGATTTTTACAAGTCACCCAAATCTGTAATGGGAAAAACACATGTAACCCTGAACTGCTGAAGAGTGTGAGAAACACATTACAATCCTGGAAAACTCATGTCACATTTTTCTATTTTTCTTTTAGCATGAAAGCCAAGCCAATGAATATTGAATGAATGCCTAGAGCCTTTCAATGAACATATTACCATATTCCATAAAGCTACGGTAGTTAACAATGCAAACTGATTCTTTCTGTATATTAAGAGTTAAGAGAAATCAACTGAGAATGGTCTTCTTATTTACATTGAGAGAACTGAGTACAGTGGGGGAAAAAAAGTGTATTTCATGTTTAAAAACTGATGTAAATAGAACTAAAAACGTGTACATTCTTTTAGAAAGCTATTGCTGGTGCATTTTTAACTGCAGATGTTTAATCGGGAATCTGCAATTTTGTAGAGCTGTTAATATTTTATAACTTTTTATTGTTGTGTATTTACTTTTCAAAATGAATAAAAATGTATTTTGTATTATGGCTTTTTTTATTCAGCACCTCCTTCAGTTCTTCACAGGGACTTTTCGTTGCTGTGTCTTTGGTTGAAAATAATTGGGTTTAACAAACGTGAACCCTCTTTATTAGAGAATTAGAGCAAAAACATTGACATATGGAAAATTCTGGAAACTTATCCATGTAATACTTATTTTATACAAAGTATACACATTTTTTCTGTATATCATATTCTTGCAAAGAGGTGACTATTTTGTAAATTACAGATTAAGTAATTATGCAATATATACAATAACAGTCTACTTTGACACCAGCTTGAGTGCATGTAATTTATAAAAAATAACACCACCCAACTGTTCAGAGAATGTACAGCAAGATCAACAATTTTTGGCAGAACAATAAACAGGCAACTGTTTAAAAGAGAAAAAAATATTAAATACATTGACACACACAAAACACAGAAACAAGTATTTAAAGGTTAGTATTTCCGACTGATAGACTTCTCATAGCCCAGCACTTTATATCCAACCTCCTCCACCAGGTGCCTAGTACTGCAGCCCCAGTGTTTTCAGAAAACAGAATTTTATAAGGTTCGGCAAGACCGAATTAATAAAATAACAAATCCTCCGCAGGACAGCCTGCATTCTAAACAGATGCTAAAAAGGAGACAAACATGTATCCAAATGTACAACCATCACAAACTTTGCCTGTTTGATCTAAAAAAAGGAAAATGAAGGTACTGTAAACTTGCATCATGAACATGCAACTCCTTCCCCTAACTTTGATGAGTGCCCAGTACCTGATTTGGGTTCATCAGAGATGAACGGAGCTGGATTGTACGCAGTAACACACTCTCCAATGTCTTGTGACTTCCATCCTCTAGTATTCTTAATAGGTATGCTGTCTCTTTTGAGTAAAGCACATGAACACATGCGCTGTTGGTCATGTTCTGGAAATATCCAATGCAGTTACACTGAAGTCTTTGCAAAACAATATCCACTAATTAAATATATTAAGTTTTTAAGACATTTTTCTGCTAACTACAACTTTATTTGGCTATTGTTTTTTATTGAAAGGAATTTATAATTGTATTAATTTAGGCAGCAGGGTATTTAACTAGAATAGTTTGGGTGAAGTTCCTTGCTCAAAGGTGCAACAGTAGTTAATTTCTGTGGGGCAAGGGAATTTGTAAAATAAGCTCTTAATTCAGTTACTAGATTTTGAGTACAAATATCATCACGCACCATAAACACCCCCTCCAGCAATCTATGCCCAAAGTAGGCAGGGCTTATATCTAAGGTGACCTTTTTGAAATGGGTCTGCCGAGAGGATGCAAGGGACAAACAAAATGAAATGATAAGGAAATAGACTTCAGAAGCTTCAGTGCCTTTTATTCCTCCAAATGGTTTGGATGCACCAAACCTTTTAAGATGAAAGTTGTGAAAATGCACATGGGATTTTAAGGATCCGTGTAAAATATCTGACACACATTTTTACAAGTCTGTCCAAACTGGGAACAGTAGATGTTATTCTTATGGTTCAAGTGGCTGAACACCTAAACCTCCTTTATTAGCAAATGCTGTGTTTCACTACTCGCTGCCATCTATGACTAAATGGAGTTTAAAACAAAAGTTCTGGCGGAGGCAAGACCCTGATCTCTCCCCATTAGGCCTACAGTGGCACTACACGAGAGGCGTGATCAGTGTGGAAGTGGAGCCCTGGATGAAGGGCGACGCGCTGCCTCTGTAATTACAGTAGTGCCGGCTGATCAGGGATGAGCCACAACCGAGAGGGCTCTTTAAAGACAC